CCACAGGGGCTGCAGCCTACGCCGTCGCTGGCGACTCACGGCAGCCCAGCTCCAGGTTGAGCAGTTGTTCAGCATCTTAGCTGTAGAGGGCAGTGTCACTGGCCCTCATATGTGGGATCCAAACCGGGGCCCTCTGGCGTCCCAAACCAGTTCTTAGCCATCGCGCCACTCGGCCGGCCCCCAACTTGTACTTCTTAATCCCTTTCTCATGCATCCCCAAACCCCCTCGCATCTCGCAACTATCAAAATATTCTTTGTATCTATGAGTGTGTTTCTGTTTTATTTGTTTATTTTGCTCTTCAGAGTCTACATACAAGCGAAATCACATTGCATTTGTCTTTCTCTGTCTGACATACTCCACTCAGCACATAACCCTCCAGGTCCATCCATGCTGCTGCAGATGGCAAGAGCCCATTCCCTTCCATGGCTGAACAATATTCCATTGTGTATATGCACCAGCTCCTCTTTATCCATTCATCCATGGATGGACACCCAGGCTGCCCCCACATCTTGGCCATTGTAAGCAGTGCTACAATGAACATATGGATGCATGTGTTCCTTCAAAGTAGTGTTTTGGGTTTCTTTGGGTACATGCCCAGAAGTGGGATTAATGGATCCTTCTTTGTCTCTTGTTATAGCATTTGTTTTAAAGTCTGTTTTGTATTGCGACTCAGCTTTTTGTTTGTTTGTTTTTGTTTCCATTTTCATGAAATATCTTTTTCCCATTCCCTTTACTTTCAGTCTGTGTGTGCCTTTCAATCTGAAGTGAGGCTCTTGTTGGCAGCATATGTAAGGGTCTTGTTTTTTCATCCAGTCAAACACTTTATGTTTTGATTGGCACATTTAATCTATTTACACCTAAAATAACTGTTGATAGATAAGTAATTATTGCCATTTGATTCATAGGTTTGATCTTTGTTTTCCTCTTTTTCTTCTTAAAGAAGTCCCTCTAAAATTTTTTGTAATACTGGTTTGGTGGCGATGAACGTTTTTAGGTTTTTTTTTGTCTGGGAAGCTCTTTATCCTTTGATTCTAATGATTGCTTTGTTGGATAATCTTGGTTGTAGGTCCTTGCTTTTCATCACTTTGAATATTTCCTGCCAATCCCTCTGGTCTGCAGAGTTTCTATTTAGAAATCACCTGACAGTCTTATGGGAGTTCCCTTGTAGGTAACTAACTGCTTTTCTCTAGCTGCTTTTAAGATTCTCTCTTTGTCTTTAACCTTTGGCATTTTAATTATGATATGTCTTGATGTAGGCCTTTTTGGGTTCATCTTGTTTGGGACTCTGTTCTTCCTGGGCTTGTATATCTATTTCCTTTGCCAGGTTAAGAAAGTTTTCTATCCTTATTCAAATAGATTTTCAATTCCTTGCTCTCTCTTTTCTTCTGGCATCCCTATAATACAAATGTTGGTATGCTTGATGTTGTCCCAGAGGCTCCTTAAACTCTCCTCATTTTTTTTTTGGATTCTTTTTTTTTTTCTATTCTGATTGGTGCTACCTTATCTTCTAAATCACTGATTCAAACTTCTACTTCGTCTAACCTGTTGATTCTCTCTAATGTAGTCTTCATTTCAGTTATTATAGTCTTTATTTCTGACTGGTTTTTTTTATGTTTTCTATCTCCAGTTTTATATTCCCTATCTCTTTGTTGAAGTTCTCTCTAAGATTGAGCATCCTTATAACCAGTCTATGGAACTCTGTGTCTGGTAGATTGCTTGTCTCCATTTTGTTTAGTTCTTTTTCTGGAGTTTGTTCTATTTTTTTTTTAATTGGGAAATGTTTCTTTGTCTCCCCATTTTGGCTGGCTCCCTGTGTTTGTTGCTATGTATTAGGTAGGTCTGCTGTGTCTCCCAGTCTTAGTAGAGTGGCCTTACAAAGTAGGTGTCCTGTGGGACCCAGTAGTGCAGTCGTCTTAGCCACTAGAGCTGGGTGCTCGAAGTGTGTCTTTTGTATGGGATGTATGTATTTCTGTTGTAGTTGAGCCTGGGATGATGTTTGCACATCACTTGGTGGGATTAAACCTCAGGCTGATTGATTGTGAGGACTGGCCATGACTACATTGGAGGCGCTGTTGTGCAAGGGCTGACCCTACAGAGCAGGGTTCACTTTAGCGGGGCTCTGGTGCTTTCCCTGTCTGTCTTTTGGGTGTATCGCCCTTGGAAGTGGCTGGGTGATGGCTTTGGGTCTGACGTTGGCCACTGGGTGTGCCAGCCCTGGGGCCTTCTGGGGGAAACCAGCTGCAGGCCAAGTTTAGCTGCAGCCTGTGCTCTGCCCAGTGCCACCTGGTATGAGCCACAAAGCAATCCACAGATGGCTGCAGCCTGCACTGGGCTTAGAGGTGCTTTGAGGGGCCAGTCTGCGAACTGAGACTGACTGTCCTAGTGCCAGGCATAGGGCTGCTCAGCCAGAGGTACAGGACATGCCAAAGCTAGATGTTTAGGTTTTGTGAACTTTTGAGAGATTTTAGGAAACTCCACAGCATGAGCGGACAGGTTGTTTGTATGGAAAAGCCACTGGAAGCAGCTTGGGGGTGCCCAAAAGTTGGGTGCAGTGGGGTCTCTGGGAATCACTAAATTGGGGCAGAAAGGTGTTAGCCATTTTGATGGAGACTCAGATACGGCGTCCGCACGCGGGGGGGGGGGCTCAACAAAGAAACAACAGCTTCCGCCAGCTCTTCCATCTGGGAGAAAGCTGCTCCTCCAGCCCTCCCTGAAGCCAGACAATTCAGCTCCTCCCCGCATATCCCTGGCCCCTTTCGAGCTGCTTCCCCAGCGCTGGAGCTCAGAGCGAGTGAGTCCATAAGCAAGTAAGTCTATGCGCTGTCCTTTTAAGAGGAGCACCTGGGACTCCAGCTGCCCTCCTCACTTAGTCACAGCCTCCACTGGTTTTCACAACCAGAAATTATGGAGGCTTGTGTTCCTAGCACTGGAATCCTAGGCTGGGGAGTCTGGTATGGGGCCGGGACCCCCTTGCTCCTCAGGGGGTACCTCTGCAGCTGAGATCTCCTTCCCCATTTTTAACGGTCACACGGTGTGGGGACCAGCCCTGTGCAGTGTGTCTGCCCCTCCTACCAGCCTTGAGGTGGTTTTGTGTGTGTGTCCGTAGTTGTAGGGCTTTGGTGCAGCAAGACTTCAGGTGATTCTCAGTGATGGTTGTTCTGTAGTTGTAATGGATATGGTCCTCTTGCCAGCTTTTTGTCAGGTTTCTCAGCTGCAGCAGTTTCTGAGAAGCAAGCAGCATCCCAGCTAGTGAGCTCCTGGCTGACTTGCCAAAACTGTCAGGGTGGAAAGAGAATTTTTCTCCCACCTTGCTGTGTTTTTCTGGCTAGACTAATAACCAAATTAACACGAGACAGATTAGCAAGAGAAAAAGTTTAGCGACATGTATACCTCCTGTATACATGGGAGAGACCCAAGAAAATTGAGTAGCTTCCCTTTTTGTTTTCTTTTTTTTTTTTTAGCTGAGCCATCCTGCCATCTGTTGGCAGCTCAGCGGCAGCTCAGCTCGGGCTGGGAATCAAACCGGCGACCCTGTTGCTCAGCTCACACTGTTGAGCGAGCTCTTAACCAACTGAGCCACTCAGCTGGCCCTCCCTTTTTGTTTTCTTAATGATACCTTTTGAAGAAAGAAGTCTTTAATTTTGATAAAGTCCAATTGTTTTTTCCTCTTATGTTTGTATTTTCTGTGTGCTGAGAAATCTGTGCTTACTCTAAAATCAGAAAAATTTTGTTTTCTGCTAGATGTTTTACAGTTTTAGCTTTTATACTTAGGCCTGTGATCCATTTCGAGTTACTTTTTATGTATAGTATGAGGTAAAGGTTGAGTTTAGTTTTGTTTTTTGATGTTGTTATTCAAGCACTTCTCATTGAAAAAACTGCACTTTCCAGTTGAAATCCTTGGCATCTGTTGAAAATCAATTCACCACTCAAAGTTTGAGCTCTGTATTCCATTCCACTGATCTATATGTTGATTCTTATGCCAATACCACTGTCTTGATTACTAGCTTAAAAATTGTACTCTTAAAAATCATGATTTTTCCAACTTTGTTCCTCCCCCCACCCCCAAATTGTTTTGTTATCCTAGTTTCTTTGCCCTTCCATATACATTTTAGAATCAACTTCTCTCTCTACCTGCAAGTCATCTGGGATTTTTATTGGAATTGAGTTGAATCTATTAATCAGTTTGGGAAGAATTGCCATCTAACAATGTCATGTCTTTGAATCCATGATCATGGCATAACTATCTTTGTTTTAGGTCTTTAATTTCTCTTTGTAATTCTTTTTCTTTATTTTAGTTTTTTTGGGAAGTGGTCTTGCCCATATTTTTAAGTTTATCCCTAAATATTTCATATTTTTTGATACTATTATAAGGAGTGCTTTTAAAATTTCATTTCCCAATTTTATACTATTACATAGAAATACAATCGATGTTTGTATATTGACCTTGTAGCCTGTAAGAGTCAAATGTTCTCTCTTGCTCCGAGTCCATTTTTCTCTGGTTTCATTTCTGGTGTACCTGGAGAACAATCATGAGATGATATTTGCAGCATCTTAGGCTCAGGTTTGGTGGGAGTGGTGGAAGAGAGCAAACTTCATGGCTTGTATTGTTCTGAAACTGGTACAAGTAATTTAGTGAAAATGAGTATTTTTGTGTTAAGGTTTATGGCCAAAAGCATAGCCAACGGTAAATACAAATTTGCCTTGATTTTTCCATGGCCCTTTGTGTTTGTGGCTCCAGTAAGAAACTTGTGGAGAGGGGTCACTGTGTTTTGGGAAAAAACTCTTGCATTCCATGGCCTTCTGATCAAAGTACCCTTAATAACTCTGCCAATGTTACAATCTTGTCTAACAGATTTGATCTGTTTGGTTAGATTGTCAAATATTATGAGGTCATGTTAAAATTACCTGTCGGCTATATCTTGTTGGGACCAGGGAAGATTTAACAGCATCCAGTTAGACAATCAGAACTTTCTTGCACAGAAAATTCAAAGCTCTAAATGGTCTGGAACAAGTTTCCCACTACAAGAATCCATCTTTGCATAACATAGCTGGTAAGACTTATGAATAAATATGGAAGATGAACAATGCCGGAGTTTTTCTTCCTTGGTTATTCTTTTAAGAATAAGCTAGGCTCAACAATAAAGACATTGTTGTGGACTGAATTGTGTCCCCTCCCAAGTTCATAGGTGAAGCTCTAACTCCCAATGTGACTGCATTTGGAGATAGGGCCTTTAAGGAGATAATTAAGGTTAAATGAGTTCATAAGAGTGGGTCCTAACCCAATATGACTAGTGTCCTTATAAGAAGAGAGACACCAGGGATGCATGTGCAGAGAAAAGGCTATCTGCAAGCCAAGGAGAGAGGCCACAGGTGAAGCCTTCCATGACTTTGATTTTGGACTTCTGGCCTCCAGAACTGTGAGAAAATAAGTTTCTGTTGAAGTTATCCATTCTGTGGTATTTTGTTAAGGCAGTCCTAGCAAACTAGTAAAGACATATAACCCAATTAAAAAATGGGCAAACAATTTGATTAGACATTTCTCCAGATAAGACATACAAATGACCAGTAAGCACATAAAAAGATGCTCAACATTATAAGTCATTAGGGAAATGCAAATCCAAACCACAGTGAGACACCACTTCATGCCCACTAGGATGGCTATTACCAAAAGCATGGACAATAACAAGTATTGATAAGGATGTGGGGAAATTGGAGCCCTTGTACATTGCTGGTGGTACTGTAAAATGGTACAGCCACTTGGGAAAATAGTTTGGCAGTTTCTCAAAAAATTAAACATATAGTTACCATTATGACCCAGCAATTTCACTCCGAAGTATATAGAGAATTGAAAACATGTTTATATAAAAGCTTGTACACAAATGCTACTGTCTGCATTATTAATAATAGCCAAAAAGTAGAAACAACCCTAATGCCCATCAACGGATGCATAAACAAAATGCGGTATATCTATACAATGAAATAGTCACCTGTAAAGAAGGAATGAAGTCCTGACTCATGCGACCACATGGATGAAGTTGGAAAAGATGCTCAGGGAAGAAAGCCCGACAGTGAAGGTCACATATTGTATGATTGGAGTGAATGCAAATGGGTATGTGGTTTCTTTCAGGGATGGGGACTATGTTCTGGAATTAACAGTGATGAACATACGAAAATAATTTACAGGGCAAGTTTTATAATATGAGACTTATATAGTTCAGTTAAAAAAAAGAATAAGCCAGAATCAGTGTTCTGGTTGGTGAACCTGAAGTAAAGGATGCGTGAGATTTTGGCCTGAGTATTAGTAATGCTAATCTGTAAATGAGGCTTTTGTTTCCCCCCCATGAACATGGGTGATAAACATTATATATATATAATGTATATATACGTATATAAATATATACACACATATATGTATGTATATATATATTTATTTATACGTGTATATAAATGTAGGTATTTTCTCATGGTCGGTAAATATGGGAGAAAAACAAAAGCCTGTCACAAGTAAAATATTCTCTGAAAACATTATTTCTTAGGCATTCGTTAGCAAAAATTGGGGAAATAGAACTATTTCTATTGGGGAAATAGAACTATTAGTGAAATATAACATTTTAGAAGTTGAAGCCAGTTGCTTGTTTTCTGAGCTATCCCTACCTCTGCTGAGAATCACTGTTCCATCAGGTCTGTGAAAATGAGTTTTGTTTTTCTGACATCATCCAAAAATCTTTTTAAAAACTTGAAAACAGCATGTTATGACCTCACTCCTGAGGATTATTGCAACTGGAAGTGTATCCTCATATTGACAGCGCCAGCATCACCTAGGAGCTTTTTAGAAATGTATACACCCCCTCATCCAAAACCTCCTGAATCAGAAACTGTGTTTTCGAGCTCTCCAGGTGACTGATACAAGCTCAAGTTTGAGAAGCACTGACCTAGAAGACTTACTAGCAAGAAGTAATACTGTCTCCCCACCATCCATATAAACCAGTGATTTTGAGTATGGCTCTCACTCAGACCTTGGTTTCTAAATACTTTTCTCCACTAAGTGGATCCAAGGCTTTGTACCATTCTTACAACTTTTCTCTAAATTTTATATTTCAAAATAAAAAGTTTTAAAGATTCCAATTGAAAAAAGATACAGAAGATGACTTGAAAAAAGCAAAAATCACACAGTTCTCCAAAATTGAGGATATGGAACTCAGATTGAGTGCATTTATTTATTACAATCTCCAAAATGACTTCAGTTGGTATAGTTGCTTCTTAAAACCATATCACTATCAGGCTCAGAATTTAATGAACAACCAGACAATTCACAAAAACACTTTAAGCACAAAACATGCTTAATATTTCTTTGAGAAAGTTTCCTTCAAATATGTGTACAGCATTACTGGGTGTGACACAAAACTGTAGAAGGTGACCCTTCCATGCCCAGGTTTCGCACGCCTTATCTTGTCACACTCTTACGACATCTGTGAAAGGCTAATGTAAACAATCCTTTCACATCTCAAAGTAAAGGTCATTCTGGTACAATCTGTCTTTCTCAAATTTTAAAGGATATTCTATATCATTCCTTAGGAAAGTAAAACTATGCACAATTTCAGGGGGGAAAACAAGCTGCTTAGACTTTTTATATTGTACACTCAACTATGGGTTATTCATTAAAGACTTTAAAATTTATGTTACATTTTAAAAAGTACCAGTTCATGGGGACAAAAGTAGAAAACACTTGCCAGCATGGTAGATTCTCCTGAAATCACAGTTTTCTGGATAAATACATGTAACCATCTCTAAAAAAATTTTCACTATGTATTACACATAGTTTGGTAAGAACTTGAGTATGTTGGGCTGTAATTTTCATGCCTTAAATACTATTTTTCTTTATTCTTTTAATAGTATTAAACTCTTTAAAAAAAACTATGTCCCTTTGATAGATAATTTTACTGTGAATTTTCAACACCTTGGCCTGAACTTGTGAAAAAAAAAAATCTAACATCTGCAACTTCATTCAGCTGGGTTATACTGGGAGAGGGGTTACCATAATTTTATTATACCTTGTATTAACAATAAACCTTCTCACAGAGAAGAAAACACTTTAAATACATTAAATCATATTTACAACAATAAAATTCACATTTCATGCTTTAGTGAGACACTTAAATCATCCATAAGAGAGTCCTCCTAGTTTATGGAACTAGAGCCCTTCCATACCTGGCCTTCTGCTGTGTGCCAGATATAAAGCTCGTCATATTACGAAAATAGCAAAACTTTTGCCATCCTCCTGTCAAGTAGAAAAACTGAAGGTAGATCTTCCCAGCGATCAAGTTGTGACTGAAATCCTGTGTCACAGAGAGCTGGCAACCAATGTGTTTCAGACCTCAGGAGCCATGTAAATCAACTTGACCGTTTGCAAAGTGCTCAAAACCCAGATGTTCTCTAACGTGAGTCATAGGACAAAAATAGCCCTTCTGAGCACAGCTAAACACGTCACTTATGTGTCTATTGCACAGGATTTGAAGCTTCCAGAAACAGTGCTGTATTTCTCTCCTTAGCTACTATATACATTTTTCTGATAAGTTCAGTGTTTCATTGGGAAAGGTGACTTGCAGGGAGCTCCCCTTTGGGGCAGGCCCGGCCCTGCCGCTCCGCCCCACCTCGTCCACCAGCAAGACACTCTCTGAGTCCTGCCCCTGTGAGGAGTCCGAGGTCTCTGATATTCTCAAAGTCCTCAGGGAGGTGGTATCTGCTTGGGACAGGCTCATGCCAGGCACGCCTGGAAGCAGATTTCTGCCTCCGAGGCTGTTCTCGCTGAGGTCTGGCGTGTAAAGGAGGGTCTGAGATGTGCTGCTGATCTCCTTAAGTTCCCGGGACAGGAAGGAGCGAGAGTGACCGGACACGGCTGAGGAAGTCCTCCTGCTGTCCGAGCAGTGCTGTCCCGGACTGTCTCTGCGGGACCCACCGATGCGGCAGAAAAGGCATTTGATCTTCTCGATGGCTTTACTGAGCACTGTCTTCCGCAGGAGGATATATATCCATGGGTCCAGGATGGGGTTCACAGCTGCGATGCGGATGGCCTGCAAATCGGGATTTTTGCTGATTTCTCGTACTAAATTTGGCTGATACAACTGGTTGATGAACACTCGGACCTGCATAAGTGAGATGCCCACAATTAGATTTTATCATTAAACAATTGGGAAAACATTTGCACGCAGTGTCTCACTTAGCAACATTTGGTAACTGCCCTCTTTTCTGGTAATAAGTATCAAAAAAAAAAAAGCAAAAGCCTCAGAAAACCACTGATGATACAATCATCATTTATGTTTCGAGTTCGTATAACGTTAAATATTTTTGTAACTTATGAATATCTTTCCTAAATCAAAGACGGCATACAAAAATGCAATGTGTGTACAGGTAACATATGCATAAAGTTCCCTTGGGAAAGCATTTTATTAACTTCATTTCTGTGAGTGCTTTTAAGGTTTTGTAATTCTAATGAAATATCCTTTTGTTCCAATAGCCATTGATTGCCCTTATCCCAGTTGCTATTTTATATACTTAAATGTAACTCATTTTGTTAAGTCAACTAACCCATCTAGTCATCACAGACAAGCCCAGAGATTCCTCTATTTTAGAGACTAGAAGTCTAGACTGGAACTTTTAAACCAACATCTGAATCTCCTGTCATCCAGAATGACCAGAGACGTTTTTATTTTCTCTCTGAGTCTCATCTCCAGTTATAATCAGCAACTCTTCCTTCAAAAACCTGTTGCAGCCTTTTTCCTCTAACCGCAACTCACATCTGGACTATTGCATCAGCCAGGAAACTAGGTTTCCCACCTCCAGTTCCTCTCCTTTCCAGCCTATCCTCCAAACTGCCACAAGATTATTTCTCAAATGCAGATCTGATTATGCTACTCAGCTGCTGCTTCTGAACTATAGTTTTGCTTTACAGGGGCTCCTCGGTGACTCCATCCTGAAACTCCAATCAGAATCAACCCCTCCTTTGTGCTTGTATAGCATTTGAGCCAGTAAATAGCCAAGTGCTAAAGGAATACTCTGGACATACCAGGAGGGATGACAGCTCCTTCTAGTGCAGCCTGAGCTATTTAAGGCAAGAGGCACATCGGCCAGCCCACCACTGGCCAGGTACGGCTTCAATGAAGTAAACAGAAGGAGGCCCTAATAACCTGTTATTTTGGAGTCTTATTTTTGGCAGTTAAAAATATTTGCCCACTCACATTTTTGCATGCATTTAATCATTTAACAGTAAGCACATATTGTGTTAGGCATTGTGATAGGTTCTGGGCACAAAGAGTTGCATGAAGTGCCATAAACTTCTTGAGGGCAGCGAGTAACCTGTAGTGCAGAAGACAGGAAGGCAGACCAACTATGGCTGGGGGCGATGGGAAATGAAATGGGAGAGGAATATATACAGAGGGCACAGCTACTCCTCACCAAAATGGGAGGGCATCAAAAGATGCTCCCTGGGGGGAGAGGAAGCTTGCCCTGAATTTCTTTTATTTTTAAATTAGTGCACTGAGTTTTGATGGAGGAGTGGGAGTTTGCTAAATTTAGAAGGAAGGCTATCACATTTCAAGTAGAGCTAATTCCATGTGCAGCCATGAAAGAAGGACATGATATGCCAACTTCTGGGAACTTTAAATGATTCAATGAAGAGAGCATGAATTTTGTGTAAACTTAAGGAAGAGTATCATTTTATCCACAAGAGGAAAAAACACTCTGTTAAATGCACACTCTCAAAATTACCCTTAAAGAGATATTTTTCTCATCAAGAGAAATTTTTTTGCAACTATGTAGGGAAATGGATGTTAACTAGACTTACGTGACCATTTCACAATATATGCAAATATAGAATCACTATGTTGTACACCTGAAAGTAATATGTCAACTATATCTCAATAAAAACATACATAAAAAAGAAAAAAACTTACTCTTATTTAAGGTATTAGTATTATTATTAGTCTAGATCTAACTTCTAATTCCACTAGGATCTTTTACATACAAATCTCACCTGTAATTCATATAAAAATAATGGTTTTAAGATTACCGTCTTTAGTAATTATTTAATAATTATTACTTGCCTTTGGTAATTATTTTAGGTTAGAGAGAAGAGGCGCATCTCAGCCAAGGAGGATGCATAAAAACCATAAAAAGGAGAAAGAACTCACCAAAGCAGAGCTGGAGCCATTTAACTAGGGACGAATATCTCTTAACTTTAACAAGACCTGAGGAGGTTGCTACCTTCCCAACAGTATAATTATAATATTCATGATGTATGAATCATTAAGAAAGAGTAGGGATATTTTGGAAAGATTTATAACATTTGGATAAAAGGAGAAAGTTTAAAACGTTTAAAGAAATTTCATTGATCTGTAAAACTCAACTCATATGAAACTTACTCCTAGATGATGCTAGATCAGTGAGGTGTAACTGTCTCTTTCTTAACTGGAATTTAGACCTTCATCAGGTACAGGTCTGCAATCCTTTGTCAAGAAATTGTCATTATTGTTCATTGCTGTTGTTTTGTTGTTATTCATTTATTTTTGGTTGCAAAACCTGACCTAAAGTTATTTTGGCAGCAAAGCCTGAACTGACTTGATTATGAAGCTATTATACTTCTATTGATTCCACTTGGTATGAATATTCCTATGTTTTGCTCCAGTGGTACTGTCCCAGTTCAGATGGAGATATTACATTATTATACAGTATGTTATTAAATTACATTTCTACAACCCCCAAAATTCTGAATTTTAAAATGCACCTGGTCCTAAATGTTTAGCATAAGGGATTATGATCCTGTAAATCTATAGAATAAAATGATGAAATGGCTCTAAGATGAAATTAATACCTTGATCTCTGAAAGACAGCTAATTAAAATTTAACTACAGTGAACAAGAGAATGTGACGACTCTCTTAAAATACTTTTAGAAACTATTCTGGGATAAATGATACTATCAAGACTAAGCAGGACTCATTCTCTCGCTTGACAAAATCCAGTGAAACAAAGCTTCTTGGTTTCCTCCTACCATATTTATTGAGGTTCTCACCTGTTCCTGGGCACTGAGAGATTAATTTCCTTTAGGTCTACGAACCTCTTCTCAGATGAAAAGAGGTTTTGAGGAACTTATCAAGGTTCCCCACTCTTCTGGTGGTGGACTCTGGTCTCGGCCCCAGGTCTCCAGATGACCTCTATGTTGCTGGCTTTCTGTTTAACAGTTATTTCTTAGCAATGGAATTATTGGAAAAAAACCATGAGGCTTATATTTTACTCATATCACATACTATGTTTCTAAGGATAAAAGAAATGATAGATTAAATCTGTTATTATCAGGTCCTCCCTTGAGTGTACTTAGTCCCTAGAAAAAAAACCTATGGTAGGGTGTGTGCGCGAACTTGAGGCTTGCAGCCGCTAGGTGGCAGTGTTGCTCCACGTGGGACTTTTTGGTCCCACAGAAACATCCTAAGAGGCATTTTGCCCTACCCTCATCTCTAAGACCTTCTTTTAGAAGAGAATCTTGGTTGAGTCTGAACTTAGCACTTCTGATATTTTTTAACACTTAAATGTTTTGTTGCTGGTTGTTTCTCCCACCACTACTTCGAAAAAAACACAGTTACTACTGAAAGGAGGAACATTTTTGAACAGTTAAAATGGATATAAAAGGAATGAAATTTGTAGCTATTTAAAGGACTGTATTAGGGGGTTAGCATTTTGTTTTTTAAATTCCTATGACCTTTTAGAAAAGTCACAGTGTTGTAAAAAAAATTCATAATGGGCTTTCATAATCAAAGGTAATGATAGGCAAGGGAAGAAATGTCTCTGAGCCTCACTTCGTGCACAGCAGTAATTAACTTTGACTACTATAGAAGGCAATGAAAGGAAGCCCTATTTAATTAATTAATCAATTAATTGATGGGGGAAAGGTATACAAATTTATTAATCTTTTTTACATGCATAAGAGTTCATTAAAAAAGTAATTACAAGAAACAGACTTGTGAGCCCATCTATGTAGCCTTCTTAACGAAGAAGAGAGGGTTTGGGCTTCAAGGGAGGTCAATTGTGGGAACATAACTAGGAAATATATGGGAAAACTAATGGAAGATAGAGTTATTTATTTTTAAGTAAGATTTATGCAGGCTCATCTTGGTACTGGCTGTCTCCCATGATAAGGGTCACTCTCCTTCCTCATCCTGGTCCAGGGGAGGGAGGCAGGAAATGGAGGCCACCTTCACAAAGGGAAATTGATGCCGTGCTTTTAGGCAGATAAAGGCAGAGAACCAAGGAAGCCCTATTTTAGAGTTCCGTCGTGGGGGTTGGGGCGCTTCCAATGAAGACAAACTTCTGAGCCGAGTCACTTCATGTTGTTTCAGTAATGGGGATGTTCACAGGGTGGCAAAAAGATAAGTAGGAAAAGCTACATCCCAAACTCAGACAAAAACATTATCAAAAGTTAGTTGAATTATTTGAAAAGAATCAAGACGAATGACCTTGTTTATGCAGCGTGTTTTCAATGGAGATTGACTTGAAGTAGAGGGGAAAAAAGACAAAAATGAACAAAAGCTCAACGCACTTAGTAATGTTTGAAAATACAGCAATCTCTGCCTCACTTTACAGGCTACTTGATTTGCTCTGCCCAATGGGGAAACCCCAGATTATGAGGGGAAATGCACAGCAGCACTTCAATATCATATGGGTGGGCAAAAGCACTTTTCTGGAATTCTTGTCCAACAGGCCCTATAGTTTACACAAATAAACATGTTCAGGCAGTTTACAGTGTTGGAAGAGTGTGCTGCTGATAAAACAGAACCTCTGAGTTTGGGGGAAAACACCATAAAAAAATTCACCTAATACAAACAACATGTATAAACTTGCAATTTTCAAAGTTAGTCTATTTTTTTGTAGCTGCAGATTTGTGCTTGTGGTTTATTGGTAGTGTAGGCATACGTCACAATATTCTCAACTTCTTGAGGATGACTAGAGATTAGGGTACAGAAATTGGAGAAAATATGATAAATTCAACAGAAGATGTGATGACAGCAAATCTATAAGGAGGCTATATGCTGTAGACCCCCAAGTTTCGGAATCAAACCAACCTCTATTCAGACCCTGGCTCTGCTCCTTATAACTTATGTACAAATGATGAAAGCGCTTAGTAAAATGGCTAACATAAGATATTGGTTGACTGTCATCACATTTTTGGTAACCCATATGTAGAAGCTTAGCCACTGTGGAATATATCAATAAGTTGAAAACCACAGCTTGGAGGTAGTTTTGGGGTACAGTTAATGGAACGGTATCAAAAACATGTATTTCCTATTTAAGAATAACCTGTTGGCAGGGAATGGCTAATTGAAAAAGAATGCTTACGTTTTGATTAGACCGATTTTCAGTACTTGACTGTCAAGGTAGAAATGCTTTCTGATAAATGAGAAGCTCCTGTAAGTGGATTTGTGTAAGTCGATGCTACTTGTTCTGTTCCAAGCACATAAAAGGAATTATCTGTGTGTGCTCAGTTATCTAACTGACTTGGGAAGAGTCCCAAATCGACACAGCTGTTGCTAAAAATTCTTACCACTTTTTTTTTTTTTTAGTGAGAAAAAAAATGTATCTTTAAGTAAAGGATAGTGGAGTTCTTGGCTGGGTGGTTGGAGCTCGGTTCTCTTTCCTTCTGGGTCACTAACTGGCCAGTTACTGCAAGCAAGTTACTTAATCTCTACAGGTCAGTCTCTACATCGAAAATCTATTTCTGAAGTATTTTTTTTTAATTCCAACTTTCAGCGTTCTACTAGGAGATTATAAGAATCATTTCAGCTCTGGGGGAAAATAAATCTTGTTAGTAGATAGTAGTTCAATAAAACCAAGCCTTCACAGTCCAGCAAAGCATGGTGAAAAGAGCATTATATCAGGACTCACCCAAAGCCACCCAGTAAGTTGCATAACAATATAAATTCTTCATCTGCAGTTGAGGAAATTGAAGTACAGAAAGAGTAAAACTATTGGCCAGCCCTATTTTCTTCTGAGAGCTTTTTTCAATGAGGTACCCGCCATATGGAAACACCTCACTTTTATGTTAGCCGGCAGTCTTCAAGGTACTATTAATAGGTCTGCAATTTTATGTTATGACTGTAAAAAAACTGCTTTTAGAAATTGCTATAATCAAATCCTTCAGGTTCTGCTGTAACAGTACCCAAATGTATGGCATTACTCTTGTTATTGATAGATGTGATTTCTACTCTTATGAAATCCCATCAGTGTTTTACGACTCCACTCCCAGCTGCCTACAGTAAACCAAAGTGTGTCTGTTTATGCAGTTTTCATCTGCCCTAATAAACCTTTGCTGATCTAATGCTGGTGAAGGCTTTATACAATTAGTTTATGGTAAGCAACCAAATAAACATTCACAGGAAGCTATTTTCCTAAAGACCTAAGTTTCAGGCAGAAGATTAATCAAATTGGCCATTTTATCCCTAGTAGAGATGAATACTTGTTACTTCAGAGTAAGAAAAAAAAGAAAAGAAACAAGTAAGCAATAAACACAGCCAAGTTTGCACGGGGGAAAATGCTTTTCCAAATCCTATAGTTAACTGTTTGGCCCTGAGGCAAAAGATTTGCTTGTAATTGTTATCTTAACATTAGTAATGGCAAAGTTAGGCACCAGAAGTTGATCTGGCTATATAGAATTTAACGCCGAAACTTATGAGGCTGTCTTGCTTGCATATTTCTAAATAATGAAATCCCTTTTATTTATCTTAAGTGTAGTCTCTTTCATTTCTTCAGCTTCTCCTGTATTTTTTAAAAAAACAGAGGTTGGATATATAAACAGAAGAATAGACAAAATGACAAGAACCACCTTCCCACTAAGTCTTCTCATTTAATGTTCCTTGCAGATTGTGCTCACACCTTCTCTGTTCATTGATTATGACTCGCTTTATAAATTTTTGCAAGTTCAGCACAGTTCCTTGTTTCCACAACTAATGTCCCAACCTTTCTCAAATTTCCATTCCAAGCTCTATTTGAGAAACATACATATATTGGATAACAAATGAAAATGTACTTCTTAGACTAAACTCAATGTCAACTTCTCTTTAAGAGTCACTGTAGTTTTTTGTTGTAGTTGTTCTCTGGTGTCCGAAAGACAAAAACTGGGCTGCTTTTCAGTGACTGCCTATTTCCTTACATGTTCTGTCAAGCTTTCTGAAATTCCAAGCAAACTGTATTTGCTCTATTAGCCTTCCCAAAGCTTTTAGATGTTTTGAAGGATTTGATTTTCCTCAAACAGGATTAGCAACCAGCTTGATTTGATAAAGTTAAAAAAAGAGATGCTTCATTAGTTTTCTTGGAACTGAAGCTAGGTCTGACTGTTTTTAGATGTCAGAGTTCAGAAACGTTAAGCTTAAATTACAATGTGAATATGGGAAACATGAAGAACCAAGAGAGTTGTAAAAGGAAGCCAAGGGAGACTATAGTTGTGGATAAGTTGCCCTTTTAATTCTTTCAGTAATTGCTAAACTGTGGGTGGATGGATAGTATAATGACTTTATTGCATATCCTTAGTTTACAATTCAATTGATTCTGAAATTAGGTTTTGGTAGCCAAAACTAAAGGCTAAAAACAAGCTACTATGACTTACATGAGTCCTTATTACTTAAAAAGGTATGTTAGAGCTTCACTATGTGATTACTTCTTAACTGAGCCAATTTCAATTTTCAGGGTAAAATTACTTAATATCTACTACATGTTACTGACTATATAGAACGGACAGTATTTGTTAGTTAAAATGTGGTTAATTTGAAAACCACAAATATAGCTCCTATACTTTCTTACCTCTAACTTCTCCAGTAATTTCAAAGGCTTTGTGATAGATGGCCCTGCACCACAGGGCCAGATCTGCCACTTCAGCCCATAAGATGAATTATGCATTTTATGCCTCTCTAGATGCTGGAAGAAAACAATTCATCTGTGACTGTATAATCAATATCTTCAAATGCTTACCTCCAACTAAAACACATTTAAAAAGTACGTGCGTGTTGCTAACCTTCCAGCTCTAATTCCTCTGTTCTTTAAAGTGGATATTCTGTAAATAACAACCACTCACTTTGTCATTTATGGTTCTGTAAAACATAAGGCAGAGGCCAGAAAAGGGAGCCCCAGCAGGAGTTGTGTTGTCTCTTCCAAAATCTCACTTTATTCTCAGTTGCCATTACACACAGTAAAATATATTTATGTGGCTCAAGTGTGACTTAACTCTGTAAATTATATTGGGTCCTGGAGTGGTTTAAAGGCCCGTCAGGCCAATTATATTTACTTCTGTTTATACAAATTGGCGAGAAGCTACTGTACGTTGGCTTTCAGCCATCTCTAAGTTCCTTCCATGTACAGTCACTCTTATCAGAGATATAATATTTTTATATTAAATATCTCTGGATAGTATTAATAAGGGAAAGGAAGGATAATAGCCCATTACATTGATTTTCTCTTTCTCCCAACCAGCATAAGAAAGAGAAGTCATCTCTTCTTGAATTGGTAATTTAGAATTTCCAGGAATGCAGTGTTTTGAGAGATGAAAAAACTCAGAACTAGTTGCTTTGAAGAGACACTCTAGATAAAGTATTATGCATCTGCCCATTGGTTTCTGGTGCATTCCATTTGAATGACAGGCAAAGTAGAGGAGAACTAGGTAGGCTTTCAATGTTACTGCTTATATAACATTTTAAAAGTTAATCCAGAGGCAATTTTAAAAGAAGGTGATGTCCTAAAAATGAAGTGTACCAAAACTCAAACACACACACTGTACGAAAGCCAAAATTAGAAGCGTTCTAGAAGGGAGACATGATGTAATACTACAGGGTTTGGAGTCAGAGAAGTCTGTTTCGTCAGAAGATGTAGAGTTTGGATTGACAATAAATCAGGTGACCCTCTCTAAAGTCCTGTTTCTCTAGAATGTCATTGCACTTCTCACAGTTGTTGAGAATTCAAATTCAATACCCCGTGTACATCGGCCTGCCCTTCATAGGCACCCCTGAGAAACCTTGCTTTTCTGGTCACTAGGGAGCATGAAGGAACCTGAGTCTGTGCCATGCCGTTTGGAACTGGAACCCATACCTGCAATGACTTGTTCTCCCAGGCAGGCCACGGTAAATTAAACCACAGGGAATCTAGCTCCGCAGTGTAGTTCTGCTAGATTATTTTATGCAAGCCACTTCCTATCGAAAGTAAGGATGTTAAGACTAGACTAAAAAGCATTTAACGTATGTCTTCTAGATCTAAAATGCTATATAATCCGAACCCCCACATCCTACATAAATCAAAACACCCAAAATCCTGCTGGAAGGAACGGTGTACACCAAAAGAGATCACCACCCTTGACATTTTGAAATCTGTTCACAGTGGGGAGGATGGGGCTGTCACACTACAGCGGTTTCCCTTCCACATCTGACAGGCGGGAGTTCCCAGAAGGCTGCAAGCCAGTGTCAGGCGGCAAGGGGTAGGGGCTGTCCCGGGACAGAAAGGAAACCGGCCTTTCGGGGAAAGAAATTCGGGGATGTGGGGGAAAAGCACCTGCTACATCTCGTTAGGGAGGCGACCTGAAAGGAGATTCGGCCAGCTCCGAGAAGCTGAGAGTGGCGATCCCACCCAGGACCAGGAGGAGACACCTGGAGGAGACATGCCCTCTACCAAGGAACGAGAGGGACAGCGGGGAGCGGGAGGCTCAGGGGGGAGGCGGGTGCGAGAGAAGGGCCGAGTGGGGCAACTCACCACCAGCGGGATGGAGCAGATGAGCACCACCAGGGAGGTGGCGATGAGTAAGATGACCATCTGGATCTCGGCGCCCGCTATGCGGCGGAAGCTCCGGCGGCGGCGAAAGTCACTGAGGCGCGGCAGGGCAGGGGAGGCGGCGGCGGCCGAGTGGCCCCGGCAAGAGGCCAAGGCTAACGCCGCGGCGGCGACCGCGTGGTGCTGCTCGGTGCCCAGCGAGGTGCGGCGCATGAACTGGCGGTGCATGCGGAGCAGCGCGCCGCACACCAGCACGTTGCAGAGCACGGTGGCCAGGATGAGGAAGGAGCTGAAGCCCGCGTACATGTAGGAGAAGGCGGCGTGCGCCGTCACGTTGGTGGTCCAGTCGATGAAGCACCAGGTGTCGGGGTACTGCAGCCGCGAGCTGCCGAGGCCCATGTTGGGCAGCGCGCAGAAGAGCACGTTGGACGCATAGACGGCGAAGAGCGTGAGGCCCGCCAGCCGCTTGTCCACGTAGTGGCTGTAGAAGTAGGCGTGGTTGATGGCCAGGTAGCGCTCGATGCTCATGGCACAGATGATGCTGAGGCCCGACAGGCCGAAGAAGAGCAGGATGAAGGTGCTGTACTCGCACAGCGCCTGGCCGCCGGGCCACTGGCCCTTCATGTACGTGGCGATGGTCACCGGGCTCACCAGCAACGTGCCCAGCAAGTCAGTGACCGCCAGCCCGCATACCAGCGTGTAGAAGGTCGTCTCCTTCTGCTCCTTGCGCGATTTGCATAGAACCACGATGGCCACCAGGTTGCCCACCACCCCAAAAATGAACATCACCGCCGGGATGGTCACTGGGCTGTTCGGGATGAGGGGGGCGGACCCATTGGTCTCAGGGGTGGACATGGTGATGGCTGGTGGTACGCAGTCTTGAAATGCGAGGCTGGGTCTGGGGTGGCAGGAGAGAGGCAAAGGCGCGGTAAGTGGAAGTTACGACTTGCAAGGTGTCAGACCCACGCCCCAGAAACAATGTGCCGATGAGACACGGGGAGCAACGCGATTCTACATGGTGCATGGCAGCCACTAGCCAACTGGGGCTACCGAAATCTCCAGGTTCCGGATACGTCCTGCCAGCGGCACGGCTCTACGGGCATTAATATCTACAAGTTGATACTGCCATTCTCTCTTCCTCCCCCAAACCCAACTTCACTGCCAAGATGAACAAGACGTATCTCAAGGGAAAAGTGGCTCGCTCTAATTCCCGACAGATTCTGAGTCAAAATCCTCACCGAAAACAAATTAGGAAAGGCAGTGTGGAGCGCGCGCTCTCCTCCCTGGCACCGCTCGTGGGGCACCCGCCCACGGCTCTCCGCCCGGACCCCGCAGCCCCATCTCACCTGTGGTGGCCGCCGGCGGCGGTGGTAGCGGCGTCAGCCCCCAGCGTCGAGCCTCCGATGTCCCGGACACGCCTCTAACCTGCCTCGGCCTCCTCCCGCGCAGTGTGGAGCTCGCCAAGTCTTTGCCTTCTCAGAGCCGGGTCTCGGTGGCTGCCAGTTTTATGGAAGTGGGGTCAGAGCGCCCAGCTTTCATAAAACTGGGGAGCCAGATAGGGCAGCGGCATGGGTCAATGAAGCCCGCTCTTGGATTTCTTTCGTTCTTTCTTTCTATTTTTCCGTTCCTTCTTTGAAGGAACGGACGCTTTGCGGAGCCCGAAAGTCCCGTCCGTGGGCGGGCAGCCCTCAGGTGTGCGGCCGATCGCGCAGGTGGCACTGAGCCTCGGTCCCCGGCTGGGGCCGCCCTCCTCCAAGTTCCGGGGCAGCGAGAGCGGCTATTGGGGTTGGCGGCTGCCGCTGAGGCCGCTTCTGGCGCCCTGTTGGCGGCTGGAGGTCCACTGGGCCGGAGGCTCTGACCTGACCCCGTTCATCTTCTTCCTCTCGGGCTGCCGGGTTTCGAGCTCCGCTCTTGCCCTGGTAGCCTCTGTACAAACTTTTCTCTTGCTTCAAGTTTCCCTGGCGGAGGCGGGGACTCACTGCGCGGCCCGGGCGCCCATTGGCCGGACGGGAAGGGGCGGGGCGCGCCCTCCCCACTCTGCGCCGCGAGGTAGTTTAGCCGGGAGGGCGGGACTCGGGGCTGTGCGGGTCCCACCGCGCCGCGTGGGGACGCTCTCCGCGGCGTCTTGGGCGGGGGTCGCGGAAACAAGTCCTGGTGCCTCAGGCCGAGAGGCAGGGAGCCTGGGAAGCCGGGGATCTCTGGGCACCCTCGTAGTCACTCTGAGCTCGGCGTCCAGGGGGCCAGCTCTGAAACCAGCATCTCTCCCTCGCTGCCTCCTGCACGGAGTGGGCTATTTCTCACACCTCCTACACGCGAGTTGCAACATCTGGGTGCTGGGAAGGGAGGTCAACTGCTTTAGGATTCCACCTAGGAGCGGCTGAGGTGTGTGTTCGCGCGCGCACTTGGGGCCCCAGGAGGAGAAATAGGGATTAGTATAGGGTATGTGTCTGTGTATGCGCACGCGTAGCCCCCGGTGCGAAGTAGGATGCGCGCAACGGACGTGGTGGGTGGATGGGTGCGTGGGTACCAGGCTTGGGCATGGAAAAGACAAAGAAGTCATGCTCTCA